TTGTGGAGAGAGGGAACTCAAATGGACATCAATAAAGTTGAAGACTGAAACCCCAATCCTGAAATTGGATCCATGTATATAGTGTTCACATTCACAGATTAAACAATATTGGCCAAATTTCCAAATGATTTATCATTAAATAGAGAAAGAGTTTGGAAGCTTTCAGCCCAAAAAGGAATAACTGAAAAAAGGTTTCAGAATAGAAATTGCAATTTACTCTTTATTAACCTTTTCCTTTTGTAACTTGACTCTTTTGATAATTGTTGATCTTTCTTGACCAAACACTGAGTAAGCTATATGCAAAAAACTTAATTCATCCCAAAGCAAAAGTGGAATATTAAATATTGTAAAATAGATAATTTAACTCCTTGGCACAGTCCAGTCCTGTTGTATCTGACGTTTTTTTTTCCTGAAAGATTCATACACTGTGACCCAGAGTACTGGCTATAAGTGACACACAGCCCAAGTGTCGACCCAAGTGCAATTCCCTCAGAGTTCAGTTCAAGCACTTTCCAGGCAGCCTCTGGAATTCCTTGCCCAGCAAACATGTCCACTATTCAGCAGGATTCTGAATATTGGAAGACCAGTGGAGGCTGCAAATTAATGCCCCATTGTGCAAATACTTATACACACGCTTAAGTTTACAACTTCAAGTAATCCTGTTTGTTTTAGTGTTCATACATGTACACAATCTTATTGCTGTGCATAGTCCCATTGAAACTAACGTGACCACTCAGGGTAGTAAAGTTAAGATTGTGTATAAGTGTTTGCAGGATCAGGATAAGGAGAAAACACAGAGGAGCCCACCAGAGACTCCAGCCAGTACAAGCAAAAGTAGCCAAAGCAGGGACTTTTGGACGTTCAGAGAACTTCATGCAGTTTTGAACAGACTCTCTCTGCCCTGTACTGATCAGCTGCATACTCCAACTTCCACACCTGCTCTTCTTACCTTTTTCTCTCCTGCCCTGGCCCCTGCCCATCTCCCTTTTATTTCCATTTAATTCATCCCCTCCTAACTCCCTCCCCTTCCAAAAATAAAATAAAATATTGTGGAGCATGCCATTTGTTGCTATCACATTGTTCAATCTGCTTGTGTATTCTATCCCTCCCCCAGACTGTCTTGTCTATTTAGATTGTAAGATCTTTGGGGCAAGGACCATCTACTACAGTGGTTCTCAACCTTTCCAGACTACTGTACCCCTTTCAAGAGTCTGATTTGTCTTGCATACTACCAAGTTATACCTCACTTAAAAACTACTTGCTTACAGACATAAAAATACAAAAGTGTCACAGCACACTATTACTGAAAAAAATCACTTACTTTCTCATTTCTACCATATAATTATAAAATAAATCAATTGGAATATAAATACTACACTTACATTTAAGTGTGTAGTATATAGAGCAGTATAAACAAGTCATTGTCTGTATGAAAATTTTAGTTTGTACTGACTTTGCTAATGCTTTTTCTGTAGCCTGTTGTAAAACTAAGCAAATATCTAGATGAGTCGATGTACCTCCTGGAAGACCTCAGTGTACCTCCAGGGTACGTATACCCCTGGTTGAGAACCACTGGTGTACTACCATGTGTGTGCATGCAGTGCCCAGCACAATGGGCTCCCATTTTTGGTTGGCCCTTAGACACTACCATAATAAATACATTTAATAAATAATAATAATTAATAAGAAGAGTGTTTGCAAGATCAGGGTCTAAGACTGCAGAAACCATTTCTCAACAGAGCCCTCTAAGGACACGTCTACACGTACTGGGGATGGATGCTATGGCGATCCATGCACCAGAGATTGATTTAGTGGGTCTAGTGAAGACCCGCTAAATCGACTGCAGATTGCTCTCCCGTCAACTCCAGTACTCCACTGGAACAAGAAGAGTAAGGGAAGTTGATGGAACAGCGTCTCCCGTCAATGCAGCACGGTGTAGACACCACAGTAAGTCGACCTAAGCTATGTTGACTCCAGCTACATTATTTTCATAGCTGGAATTGCTTAACTTAGATCACTTTACCCCCATAGTGTAGACAAGGCCTAATTCTCTCTCTCATCTTGAGTGATATCCTATCCCTAATGAAGTCAATGATAAAATGCCTATTGACCTCAACAGGGCCGGGATCTCATCTCCTATACTTATATTTTGAAATAGCCTGACAGTGAAATCGCTATAATACATATACACTTCGTAGGTGACAGAAACAGTTGTGGTAGAATACACTGTTCAGTAATAAGTTACATTCACTTAGCGCTGTACTGTAGCTCCTATTCATATTTATACATTTCAATATCCTAAATGTAATCATTTAACATTTCAAATCAAAGTGAACAGTTTAAAATCTACTTTAAATCAATTATTGTCTCCAATCAGGCAAATTTTGAAATATAGTCTATCCTTATGATGAAATTGTGGGGGGGGGGGGGGAGAAGGTGTTGTTCTGACACAAGATTTCACTAATGTATTTATGCCCAGAAGTAGTAAACTGGAAAAAAAGTTTTTACATGTACAAGAATGGTTGTACAGCGCTTTGTAGATAGAAAGTATTATGTAAATACTAAATATTATAAATAAAATATGGTTAGTACTTTATAGGTTGCAAATCATTCAAAAACTGAATGGTCTATGCAAATGTCACATTTGCAAGATTCACAAGTGCCACACAATATACAAATCTTAATTATTTTGGAGATTATAATAAATTTTCTTCTCTATCTTTAAAAGAACCAAGATTCTCCCAATGCACAATGAGATTACGTCAAACAGTTAAAAATACTAGCCTGCCATTCATTTAAAAAAATCCCTCCAAACAACCCATCAGAAACACACAACTCAGGATTTTTCAACTTCAAAAAAGGGAGCTAGATAGTACAAGCATGGAACACATTTTGTATACTTTTGTTTGGGATTTTCTTCTTTTTAATGACACTGATAGCATGGTGCTCCATATTTATAAACGTAATTCGCTACACAAAACTTAGTTACATACACAAACACCTAGATGACCTAGCTGATGAAAAACCATCTGGTTTTCTTTCAAAATATAAGCAAAAAAGTGCCTTATACATTATATGGTACACTTTCTTATGGAATTTTGGGGATTATATGGCGTTTCCAGGAATCAACATTTGTATTGTCACATAATAGATTAAATGATCTGACAAGTCATCTTATACATATCTTTATGTTTTGTATAAATCTAATAAAGTATTAAAAATTAACATTTAATATGACAGGTTTCAGAGTAGCAGCCGTGTTAGTCTGTATCCTCATTGTCTCTAAGGTGCCACAAATACTCCTTTTCTTTTTCCATTTAATATAATGGAGTTACTAGAGATTAGCATCACTTCACGCACAAGATCAGGTAAAAGATTATTTGTGTCATATTACTTTAGTTTCCTGTAGGATGTATATCACTTTCCTATTCACTATTGTTTCCCTAATAATTTAGATTGCCAGGCTTCAGTAAGGGTAAGGACTGAGTCATGAATACAGGATCTTTAGGACTAAGTTCTCCCAATACTTCTACAGTGTAGCGATACCTAATACAAAGATAGCGTACAGCCCCTCTAACCTGCATTACTTACCAAATGCTCTGCAGTGCTGTTGTAGGTTCATAGCTACAGAGTATATGCCCCTAGTATAGGTCCTACCCTGATCGGCACCTTTCCACATGCTTTTATCAGGAGACATAACTTGTGGGAGTGAAGATGAGTTTAATTTCCTCTAGACTACAGAACTTCCTCTACTATAATGGGAGCAGTGGTCATCATTACTGTTCCGGCCCTCAGCTGCCATTCCAATGTTTGACCGCCACCAGCAGCATCTGAATAGCTCTTATTCCCCCAGATCGGTGCTGACATTGGAGACCCCCTACGCTACTTTTCAACTGATTGCACAGTCCCTGTCCTACTTTCACGGCCCTCATCTGTAATTGCAAGCCCCTCCACCAGTAGTACATCCTTAATCAACTTCACCCACCATTGAACTGAATTCTCTCTCCCACTATTCTCAACAGCTGCCAACACTGGCTCCTCATTACCTTTCTCCTTTACCCATCCACACCACCTTCTTCTCCCAATCTCATATCTAAATCTCTCTGCCGCCCGTCCTTCCCACCCATCAGCAATAATTATGGGCAGAGCTTTGCTCTCCGGACTCTCAAGTTCCAAGCACATCTTTAGCCAACCAAAAGTTAAGAGACCAGAAAGGAATATGGAGAAAACCCATCTTTACCATGTGCCATATTCCAAACCCCAGGGCAGGATGTAATTTGTAGATCTTGGCTCAGGGTGAGTTTTGGTTTTGGTTTTTTGAACTTGTTTTGTTTTTTAATTGATTACAAATGTTACCTTGTTTTAACCAAAGCAAACAATGTTTTAAGTTTTTGAAAAACGTCAGAGTAAAAAAAAAAAAAAAAATCATTAAGGTTTATTTTAAAAACAGGAGGGGAAAAAAAAGAGAGAGTAAAATGCCTATTTTTTTATATTCCATTTTCAATCACGTCACACAGATTGTGTGGGGCAATTTACTTACACTAATTGTAAACTAATATGGTAGCTGTACTTGTGGTAATATTAGAAAGCAAGTCCTATCTGCAGCAAAGTGTGCCTTTCTGGACTTGACCGTAGTGAACTTGTGATATCACCATCTCTCAGTTTATATGTTGTTCTACTTCCACCATCACAGATTTAATTTCAATAAACCCTAAATTGTCAGGGACATTAGAGCAACAGCCAAAAGTCTGAGCGGTTAGGAGCCTTGATCCTGTTCTCCTTGAAATCAGTAACAAAACCCCCAATCTCTTCTATGATACAATACCGAGGCTTAAGGGCCAGACCATATATTATTGAATCTAATGGGAGTTTTGCAATAGATCTTAATAAGAACAGGACTGGTTCCTTAAGGAATAAATAGGTGCTGTCAATTAATATTAAAATCACTTTCATCAATTTTCTGGTTAAGGTTACAAGAAAGACTTTTACAAGCAACATACCTGTGGCAGGGCTGAATTGAGCTGTCGCTGAAGGGAGTCTCTGTCGTAGATGACATCCTGAAGGCGTTGCTGTGCAAGCGACAGACTTTCCTGAGTCTCCCGAAGGGTGTCAAGGAGGCGGTCCCTTTCATCTAGCATGTTCACCATCAGTTGTTCAAAGTGAGAATCCGAGTCCGACCCGCTACTCTGGGACCCCCGTTGACTCATTGGGGTGTCCTCATTTATCGTTGGCATCACTTCACACATCATTTCTTTAAAATAAGAAGTTAAGGGAAAAAATCTTAGGTAGAAAAACATTTAGGAGAACTTTATATGAGGAATTTAATATAGTCACAGAAACTGCTAGCACATTATTGCATTGATTCACATCTCAACTTCACTTTTTCACCAGTCACATGGCTGACAAAGTAACTGATCATTCAACATTGCAAAAATGTTGAATGCACTTCCTATATAAGGGGAAGAGTTATTTAATTCGTATTAATGGCTTGGCACAAAAAAATCATGTCAAAAGTTTCCTTTTTGGTTTCAGAGTAGCAGCCGTGTTAGTCTGTATTTGCAAAAAGAAAAGGAGTACTTGTGGCACCTTAGAGACTAACAAATTTATTTGAGCATAAGCTTTCGTGAGCTACACTCACTTCATTGGAAAATTTGAGCATAAGCTTTCGTGAGCTACAGCTCACTTCATCGGATGCATTCGATGAAGTGAGCTGTAGCTCACGAAAGCTTATGCTCAAATAAATTTGTTAGTCTCTAAGGTGCCACAAGTCCTCCTTTTCTTTTTGGTTTAGTTCGTTTTATCTTTCCTTTGCCCGCTATCATTTTCCACTGGTTTGTATTGACGCCAATAGCTGCCACTAATTGCAGAGTTTGGTCCTACTGCAGGCTTTTCTACAGCAGACTCCAGACTGACCATTGATCTAGTAGCATGCTGCCTTAATAATGCAAGGTTAATTTATCTTTCTACCTAGTTATTCCTTCCCTCGGGGGAATTACTTTAAGGTAATCTCTCTGAGTAAGATGTGAAAGACGAGAGGCTAACTGCTAATTACTATCCTTGTGATCCTTTGTCCAAATTGAGCCACTAGGAACAGGGCCACAATTGCGTGAAGCCAATGTGTTCACATAGGCCACCACACAAAGAGTGGCTTCAGGGGAAAAAAAAACAAAAAAAATCCAACCAATTAGTCTCACTTGACTCAACATTTCCACTAAAATGCCTCTCATGTCCATCTCACAACCTAGATTTAGACACATGTGGAATCCTGAACCTTAAGATAGTGGATGCTGGGTACAACACACAAAGAAACAACCAGGACATCGCAGTTCTCAAAAGCCACATAAACATTTACTTTTATGGAAGTCTGCAAATAAGGTTGCCACCAGCAACCTTAACTTTGCTCTTCCATCACTACTAAATTATATTCCTTTTATATATAGCAGATGTAAGTTAGATTTGGGTCTAAGGATTAGTCTTGGAGCCTAAATCTTGGAGGTCTTATATACCAGCCAGTGTGCCTATGGAGTTTGTCACTAGCTGCAGGTTTAAAACGTTTTTTCAGTTTGTCTGTAGATCTTGTGTAGACTAGAGCTTCTGGAAGCCTTGCACATAAGATATAAATTTCAGGCACTTCCATTACAAGCCTGCCAACACACAAAATCTTCACCATTTCACACTCTCGATACTTGTTTGGATTAGCTCAGCATATTCTCTGTTTTGGCAAGGATTTAAGACTTCTTAAATCTGGTATATTTTTCCTAATAGAATTTAAGGGACTGAAATGTTCTGTACCAGCCACATCTACCTTAAAGTCAGCCCAATGTTGTTTCAAGTGGCAGGGGGGTAAAGACAGCTAAGCCACTCTTGCAAACAAACACACAAAGATTTACTGGGGACAGTGATCCAGCTTTCTCAGGAGAACTGGTCTTGCCTACATTCTAAGCATTTACACAGACTCTAGTAGATTTCAGTTTCAGTTTCTTCTTAGCAGATGTAGAGTGGTGAGCAGAGTAAACAGGGAACATACTAATATCTCAATATTGGTTATGGACCACTACCATGTAGGTTGGCTAGTATTTTCTTTGTTGAGGGTCTCTGGCGTTCAGTCATAGGGTTCTCTTCGGATTTTGTGGGGCTATGAGAAGCAGCAGAGTAAAGGTTATTTAAGTACCCATCAGTGCATTTCTAAGATTTTTAGGTCGGTCTTTGTGTTTTGTTGTTACTTGCTTTTGTTTTTCTTTTTAATGGGTAGCTTTAACCTTGAATTTCCAGCTTACCACATGTTTTTGGCTATCTGAGAAACCTCAAGGGTTCTATACCATAATTAACTCAGGTATTTTGTAGACTCATAGATTTTAAGACAAAAAAGACCTATTATCACCATCCAGTCTGATCTTCTGATTAACACAAACCATAAATTCCAGTTGAACTATTGTATATCTTGTACAGAAAGATATCCACTGTTGACTTAAAGGCTTAAGAGATAGGGAACCCACCACATCCACAGGTAAGTTGTTCCAATGATTAATTATCCTTGTTATTAAGAATGTAACTTATTTACAACCTTACCTCTAGTTTAACAGTTTTATTCCTCTATTTCCTTATGCATTTTTAAACTGTAACCCAACTGTTCAGAATTCCTTATGGAATCCCCAAATTGAAGTGCCATGCCAAAGAAACACCTAGAGACCCCACAAAAAGGCCAAATCCAAAGTCCATCAAAGTCAATTGAAAGACTCCCATTGACTTCAATGTGATTTTGATCAGACCCAAAGTCTAAAGAGAAGACCTACAGAGCTTACAAAATGTGCAGGAGTCTATGGGCCACAAAGACAGAGGGAGAAAACAGTGTGAAGTTTGTGCTGAACTTCTAAGAGGCGCAACAAGTCTCCGCCTAGGTGGAGGGAGAGCCTATGGTCTTTAAGCCACCTTTGTGCTCTCCTGCTCCTGGGCTGCTCTGATGGCTGGAGATGCCCCCAACATAACTTAGATAGGAATTAGGAAGCCCAAACTGTAGAGCTAACTTTTGGTGGAACTTCAGCAGTCAGTAAGTTCACATCCAAAGACTACATGCTTTTTAAGGTGTACATGGAGCATCAGATACTAATTTGTAATCCAGATCCCATGTATTAAATATGTGCAACTACATAGACCCAAGGATCTGTATAAAAATCTTAGAACCAATTCTCCATTCCATTCCATTGTTTTTAAACCAACACCCTTCAATTCCTCATACAGCGCTGTGTGCACACTGGATTGTGGACCTGAAAATACAAATTGTCTATGCAGATATTCCCATGTCTCTACTAGGCCTGTGTGTGCATGGTGCTATGTGGAGTGCTAAGATCTGTGTATCCTAAGACATTGCTTCCTTAAGTAATGAAGCAATTACCCATGGCTACCTCTGCCAAACAGTCACTCATCTTAGAAAGGACTTGTCTAAGAAGCTGGTTTTGAACTGGAAGGGACGTGGGGAGGAGACATAAAACCAAAAACACAGCCACTACATTTTTAAAGTGTCAAATCCCTTATTTTTGAAGTTTCATATCATCTTAGAACACCTCAGCTGGATTCGCCTTAAACCATAATAATTCTGCCTTGGCAAAAGACCTTCCCAGCCAATCTCCAGACAGACTAGTGAAGTTGGGCTGTATCAAAATCAGTTTTCGAATGCCTTAGGAGACTCAACTGCAGCTAAACAATTATTTTCAACTGCCTGTGGAGAAGGAGGATCGATTAACTTCAAAGGAGCTACTCACTGGTCATAGGATGCCATAATTGAATTTAAATGTAGAGATACAGAACTCAAAGGAAATTTAAAGAAAGTTAAGAAAAAAAATAAAGGCTGTGGGCCAAATACTACTCACTTCACTCATGCAAGTAATCCCTTTGCCTTCCATGGGACTAGTTGCATGAGTAAAGCAGAAGGATTTGGACCACCAACCACTGTGGAAGCATTTTAGTAAAGCTAAAGAAAACCCTCTTTTCATAGCATATTTTGGCGTTTAAAGTACTGTTTATTAAAAACGTAGCCTAAATTTTCAGAAGCAACTTGTGATTTTGGGCATCTCTATTTCTGAGTATTCAATTTGAGACAACTTAAACAGGGCCTGATTTTCATAAAAGTGCTGAGCAATTGTGTCTGAAAACATGGTTACTTTTGAAAATGTAGGCAGTTATTCATTTTAAGAACATGAGCCTCAGAAGAACAAGCCAGGATTACACCCTCTTTTGGTAGAAAGTGGATTCTCACACAGGGCATCTGAAATCTAAATTTTTTTAAGAACTGCCTTTCATAGCTGAAAGTATAATGTTGATAGTTATTTTCCTGCTTTGCTTGTCATTCCAAGAATCTCACATAAAAGAAAAATGTGAAGGAAGATTTAAGATTGCTTTACCACCAAACACAAAGGAATTGTAACAATAGAAATTTAAAACAAGACTCTAGGCTGGTGAAAAGCTACGTATTGAATAACTATGTCTTTCTAGCAAAGCCAATCTCTACTAGGATTTGTGGAAGGGATCATCAAAAGAAAAAAAACAAACAATAATACTTTCTCATTAATCACAATAGTCACTGAATTGTTTAGAATATAGGTGATAAAGACACTCTAGATTAAAATTAAACTTTAAACATGTTGCAAAGCACTATGAGATTCAGATCTTTGGGGAAGTTATCCTTCAATATATATATAGTTCTGAACCTACCACTGGTGAGTTTTTTCTGCTTTGTCAATTTCCTAATTTAGGATTAATGAATAACAAAGATTAATGTTCATTCTATTCTCACCAGAAAAAAACCAATCATTGTTTTTTTTTTCTGGAAACAACTCCCTTGGGGAACACAGAGTGGACTCAGCAACTTGGTTCCTGATAGTGAAACCCACTAAGGCCTCAATTCTGCTAGCAATACTTAGGAAAATGCCTATTGAAGTAAATGAGTAAGGATTGAGATCCTGAATGATTATCAGCAGGATTATTTGGTGACTTGAATCCTTCACCAAAAACAATCTCAAAAATTGGGGTCTGATGGAGACAGAACAGTCTTTTTTCTTTCAAGAAGGTTAAAAAAAAAGTTAGGCAGACTAGAGATCTAAGCGTGACATATTATTTGAATAAAAGGGAGCATGCACAGGGTTATGGTACAAGAGAACCTAGGAGGCACGCAAAGTGTGAAAACTGAGGTACGGCATCCAAGTGGCATGTGAGGATTTAAGGTGCACCTTTAATTTCCACTGGGCTTGTTTAATATTGTGGATATTTAATATGGATAGACAAGAGCAGAAGGCTTAGCTATGAAGGTGGTAGGTGCCTCGTGAGTACCTTAAAAATTGATAGAGGAAAGAATAAAGGGGAGGGAGAGTACCACAAGTTTTAGGGGGTTTTTTTAAGGGAGGCCAGGCCAGGAGCCCTCATGTCCTGTAAAACAATCACCTGTAGTCACTGTTATAATGTGAACTGATTGACTACTAGGCTCCTTTAAAGGAGTTTTCAATTTCAATCTGTTTTTTACTTGCAAATAACTAAAAAAACCCTATTTTTAATGTTTTGAACTGGAATGTTTTCTATCTGTAATAGTGAATGGTGAAATAGCATGATGCCAATCTGAAGGTTTGCACATTTCAGTGGTTTCCCATCATCTGACTAGAACCTGATCCAAACCCCACTGAAGTCAATGCTAATATTTTCAGTGACTTCAGTGGTTGCTGGATCAGGCTCCTTGAAGATGATAGGAGAAACCACTGAAATATGCAAAGTTTCAGATTGATACCAGGTACCTTCAAACAGGGATGTGTAAGCAAAAAGTATCTGACATGTCAGCCTGTATTAGCCAGATCAAAGTGAGTATTATTTGACCAAGGCTTGGAATATTAAGTGAAATCCTGTACATTTTTCCCCAGTGGTCACCAGAGATTGTAATTGACAATTAAAAATAGACTTTGCTCAAAAGTAGTCTGTTCCTAAAAACAGTTCAGTGTCACTGCATTACAGATCTGTCAAGTTATCTACCTAGCTACCTGCAACACGTCCTCACCAAGAACAGTTGCGTAGACGTCTTGGGGTTGCAGACCTGAGTTTATAATTACAGATGAAGTGACTGGACATGAATTGAAACAAATTGTATAGTTCATCACCATCCTGTGGGTACAGTTATATAAGGCTCTTTTTCAAGATCACCCCAAATAACGATTATGATTATTTTTTTTCTTTTTATATTTCTTACGCTCACAGATGCAGATAATCACGTTCACACCTGGACTGTAAGAGCACATTTAAAATTTGCTTTATTTTGAATGATTCTCAGAAGACAAGGTATTTGAAATACATATATGATGTGTGCAGTAAGGGAGGAAAAAGTTCTCATCTTTCTTCTGACTCGACCCCACCCAACTTGAGTCCCTCTGGTGTCTCAATTATAAAAAGAAGTTGTATAACCACAACAACAATTTTCACTTCAGGAGTAAATCATGTGGTCTGGGACTTGGTTTGCCACCACTACTCCTTTCACTTGGGGAGGATTTGGGTGTGGGAATCAGAAATTATACCTATCTGTAGTTTGACAAAAGCTCTTATTAGAAGAACATTCATTTAGTTCACCCTGAAGACTTCCAGCTTCTAGGAAGTGTTTCTAATTTTATCCCATCACCTTTGTACCTAACCTCAGTCTTAAACCCCTTGACTTTGGTATACCCAGATATTAATTTTGCATCCAGGTTTAGGAGTCAATTTCAAGTTACTTTTCCCCTTAGCAATACCCTAAGGAGAAATTCAACTACAGAACGCTCTGATCTGAATCTGTCTGCAGTGACATCAGCTTTGAAGACTTACCCTACACTCCATCCTTTTACTGAACCATTTTTTACATTTTGCGTTTACAACTAAAAGAAATAGACACAGCGACTAGTACAACCAGTTCCTATACTGCAATGATTTATTTTCAGATGCTTTCAACAACACCTCACTTAACCCGCACAGTGTAATTCCATATGGAAAATCCTTGCCATTGTCTGAGTTGCATTACATGCATATTCCTCCTCCTAGTTAACTCATTCTCTCCCAGAATCTTCACCAAACTGTGAAATCACCTTTAACAGAAGCATTTCGCACTCCTTTCACCCACAGGGGTAAGCAACACAGTACATTAACATATAACCTGTTCCAATCACCTATTCTGCATGACATCACTCCAGCAACCCCCACCCAAGAAGAAGTTGACTTCATGGTTTTTTACAATGAAATTCCCCCATCTCCCAAAGACCAGTACAGAGCCACATTTAAATAAGACAAGGCATACTAGAAGCAAGCAGCAGAGAGGAAGAATTTTCATGTGTATCACATCTCGCCTTAGGGGGCTGGGGTCAAGGAGGGATGGAGGAGCTCAGATATGCAGGTTTCAGTACCTAGTGGCTTTTACTTCGGCGTCTGCTTATTCCGTTGATCAATGACAACCGCAGTCTCTCCCGGCTTTGATGGGGGCTCACACAGCTGGGCAGTCCTGGAGCATCTTCCTAGCAACGATGACACAGGCGTTGCTCAGAGAAAACCGAAGCCCCAGCGCCCGTCGCCGGACAGGAATATCTGCATGGCACCTCGGCATTTTCTTCGGCCACTTCGTCAGCAGCCAAAAGGGAAAGCGTCCATGGGAAAAATGGCATATTACAAATTTTGCTTTGGGAAGCAGAGCTTGGTTCAGACCATTGTTAGGAGGAAAAGAGGGGGGAGGCGGCTCTTAAAGCTCCAGCAGCCCCTTTCAAGCAGCAGCAGCATCTTTACAGCTGGAGGCCGGGGATTAGGGGGAAAGGATGGGGGGGGGGGAACGTCTCTTTTGTTTTTATTAAAAACTTGACGGAGTGTGGTCTGAAATCCCCATTTCTTCACAGCCCGCCCTCCCCCAGGCTCAGCAGCCCCCGCGCGTGTAATTAAGGCAGTACACACGGGGGAGAAGTAATAAGAAAACGCCCTATTAGAAAGAAACTTGCTGGCCCTAGCCCCACTCCTGCTTTACAGCCCCCCAGGCGCCGGGGTGAAGCAGAAGTAACTGCTGCGGTCCCCGCGATGGAGCTGCCCTGCTGTCCGTGGAGCAGAACCAAGGAAACGCCCGGGGAAGGGGCGTTTCAGGACCCGCACGAGAGTCGCACGCCGATAGCGGTCTGTGGGGCCGGGCTGCCCGGCGCTCAGGTGCGCTGGGGGTGGAGGGCCAGAGCTGTGAATGGAAGCGGCGGGCGCCCCTTCTGCGCGCCGCCTCCCAGAGCTCCGGACACTTGCGGGATTGTTCCCAAATGCGGGTGGCGTCCGGGCTCGAGGGGCGCCTGTGGTTCAAGCCCTAAGCTATCATTTGGAGAGGTCAGGCACATGCTCCTACATCTCCTCTAATCGGATCCGTAGCGTAATAACATGGATCCGATACGATAATCCGGCCAGGACAAAGCAGCGACAATATCGGGTCTGATCTGACTGGCGCAGCCATGCAATTAAAACCGTATTGTGTGTTCAGAAATACTACCTATACCAAAGCCACGTCTTCCCAAATCGGGAGGGCAGGGTGTTGCCCACAGCCCCCCCCCCCCCCAGGGTGCGCCTGCATTGATGACACAGGGTGCCAGGTAAGGAGGAGGGAGCTGGGGGGAGGAGTGGTTTTCTCTTCCTCCTCAGCTGGGGCTTCCCCTGGAAGCTGCTGCAGTGGTTTCCACCAGCCCTTAAATAAATTCTGAAGTAATCACGTCTGCTCTCCCTGCCTCACGCACACACGGGTCCCCAGCTGCAGCTGCTCGCACGGTGTTAATTCTCCAACACCCGCCCATCCACAGAGACAGTGTAGAGCCCGGGAGAGCAAGGAAAGAAGCGAAGCCATGCTAGCGGGAATCATAGAATATCAGGGTTGGAAGAGACCTCAGGAGGTCATCTAGTCCAACCCCCTTGCTCCAAGCAGGACCAATCCCTAATTTTTTGCTGGAGATCCTTAAATGGCCCCCTCAAGGATTGAACTCACAACCCTGGGTTTAGCAGGCTAATGCGCAAACCACTGGGCTATCCCTCTGGTCTCTTCTGCTGGTTTAGGAGTTTGACGGGATGTTACGGTCTGTGCTATTGCACATGGATGAATTTCTAAAACATGCCAGCCTCTGATCTTGTAACACACCTTTCAGTCGGACAGTCTAACCTGATTGCCCTCCCCTGTTTGTCTAGTTAAGGGTGTCCCTGCTCCCAAGGTGTGTGGGGAGGCAGGGACCTTTTGCTGCCCCACCTCTTTCTGTACATATAAAACCTTAGGATCTAAATTAGCTGTTACCACCCAAGAAAGGGCTTGGAGTCATTGTAGCTAGTTCTCTGAAAACATCTGTTCAAAGTGCATGGCAGTCAAAAAGGCTAACAGAATGCTAGAAACCATCAGGAAAGGGATAGATAATAAGACAGAAAATATAATACCACTAACTAAATCCATGGTATGCCCCCACCTTGAATACTGTGTGCAGTTCTCTTGGTCCCATCTCCAAAAAGTTATATTAGAATTGGAAAAAGTACAAAGAAGGGCAACAAAAATGACTGGGGTATGAGACAGCTTCCACATGAGGAGAGAGTAAAAGGACTCGGGGGGGGGGGAGAGGGGGGATATGACTGAGGTCTATAAAATCATGAATGGTGAGGAGAAAGTGAATAAGGAAGTGTTATTTACCCCTTCACGTAACACAAAAAGCAAGGTCACCCAATGAAATGAATAGGCAGCAGGTTTACAACAAACAACAGGAAGTATTTCTTCACACTACGCACAGTCAACCTGTGAAACTCATTGCTGGGGAAGGCCAAGACTATAATTGGGTTAAAAAAAGGATTAGAGACATTCATGGAAGATAGGCCCATCAAAGGCTATTGGCCAAGATCATCAGGGATGCAAAGCCAGGCTCTGGCTGTCCTTAGCCTCTCACTGCCAGAAGCTGGGACTGGATGACAGAGGATGGATCACTCAATGATTGCCTGTTCTGTTCATTCCCTTTGAAGCACCTGGCATTGGCCACTGTTGGGAGATAGGACACCAAGATGGATGGACCATTGGGCTGACCCAGTATGGCCATTCTTGTCTTGTGATCATCCCCTGCCCTGAGCAACTGTGGCAGTACTCATGGGTCCAGAAGATGAAGATCTCCCACTCTCCTGGATCTCCTAGGCTTCATTTCCCAGAGCAGCTGTGATGCTCTTCTCCCTTGTCACCATAGGCACTGACTCCATGGGTGCTCCAGGGCTGGAGCACCCACTACAAAAAATAGTGGGTGCTCAGCACCATCCGGTGGTCCCCACCAATCAGCTCCTACCCAGTGCCTCCTGCTTTCCAGTGATCAGCTATTCAGCAGTGGGCAGGAGGCTGGGGGAGAGGAGAAGAAGCAAGGGGCAGGAAGAGGTGGGGCAGGGTGGGGCCTTGGGGGAAGGGGCGGAGCAGGGCTCAAGCACTCCCCGGGAACTCAAAGTCAGAGTCTCTGCTTGTCACCCTCCTTCCTGTAACTGCTGCTCCTTGGTCCCACAAAAGGGTCCAACTAATAAAGACTCTTCTTTCCTACATCCCCTCCCCACACCGACAGCAGAGCAAATCTACCCCACTCCCCATCATCACTGCTCCCAGTGCAATAAAACTAAATAAAATAATCGTTCTTTTACTCCATTTCCCTTAACCTCCCTCCACCAGCTCCCAGCCCTTCCTAACCCTATGACACAGAGGCCCAGGCAATGAAGATGCCTCCTGCTCAAGGTCTCATGCAGGGGTCCAGGGTGTGACCTTCTCTGCACCCTCATGCAGAATGATCTGGAGAAGGGAGATCACTCCTCGCCAGTCCTCTCCCTTGACTCTGCTGCCCTCTGACTCTGCAGAGGGACACAGAACATGCTCACCACTGCTTTCTTCCCATACCCTTTTCCTGCCCTCCTTTATGGCTCTGCCAACTGAGTGAAGACTATTTATGAAACAGGTAACCCCCCTTCCTTCAGTGACTTCCCAACCTCAGGGGAGCTTCCACCTCTATCTGCACATCAGTCCCTGTGGCCTCCTCAAGAATAAAGACTAACCCACTACCCTGGGCTCATTTACCACACAACCCCAGTGAGGTTCAGTGTGTAGGAGCCAGCTCCCACAACCCCTTCCCTCTGAGGTTTGAGGAGTCTCCTCATCACAGCTTCAGGGGGTTAGAAAGAAACCTTTCTGGCTTCACCTCTGTTCCCTTCACAGGCTTCCTGAAGTGGGACACACTAACCTGATTGCTCTGTCAAGGTCCATTGCATGGGGCGACTACAGAGTTGCACAGAATTACATGAGTGTGAGGTCACCATGCTAGCAGGACTATCCCAAACACTGGCAAATGTGAAAAATAAACAAGTTAGGGGAGAGGGGGAACGGGGATACAGGAGGGAAACCATTTAGTCTTTTTGGCCCTGGGAGTTAGGCACCTAAATACCTTCAAGGATTTGGGCCTTTCAGTCACAGCAATCTATGGGGTTACTTAATACGAACAGCTAAAAATATTTTTAAATGATCTTTAGGTAACATGAACATTGTCTACCCAGTCTCAAAACTCTGGTGTGAGTACCAATAGAAGCCCTCTCCCTCCCACCCACCCCACACTGACATACACAAGCAGAGTCTTCTGGTGAGTGGGGGTTTACACCTACCAGGAGGGAGAAAAGTCAGGGGCAGGGGAAATGAGACACACACAAACAGAACAAACAGAATAGCAGAAAATAAGAGGAAAAACTGGAGTGATATGGTGCAAAGAAACTTGGGGCACCCATGTGCTAATCCATCCTGAAGGTATGGAGCTCTTACAATAAGAGGTTGGGAACCATTGAATAGCAGGATAATACACTACTGAAAATGATTTATAATCATGGTTTTCTAAGTTCCTCCTATTGGTGCCTAACCAGCAATCTAGAAATTGGGGACCAAGCTTTAGTTTAACTTTCATATATCAAGTTAAGAAAAGGCTTGGTCCATGATTTCTAGATTGCTCATTTGACATCAATAGGGAACTTCCATTTTACAAGGGGCCAAGAAACGTTTCAGAAAGTGAATTTTATTTTTAAGCTTCTTTGGAAACATCATTCATCTTTGTGAGAAGGAGCACAAAACGCACCCTGAGCCAGTGCTATCTATTCTATTCAGATTCTTATACCAGACTCAGAACTGTAGTAAAGGTTCTCAGAGATTCAGTAGAAGATTTGGCCTCCACATTTGCTTGTTCTATTGCTACCCATATGTAAGTGAACGGTGAAATATGAATAGCTAAGGAAGGTCCTGACAAGACCATTATAAAAACAGGCACAAAGAAAAAATGACAAGTACTAGTCTGTAAGCCAGTGGGCTGGTGAGCAGGAAGGATTGATGCCATGCCAATCTGTTTCAGCATTTGCCTTGAGGCATAATTTACTGGTTTAAATGAAAGATTATGCAAAATATCAAGATGGAATAGTTCTTCTGACCAACATAGGCTATAATCCCGAGAGGCTTTCCCCTCACCTCTCTCAGCCCTTCTGGGTCCATGCCCTGGCCCAGGGATTCCCACAGGAGTCCTTCAATACTTGTACTTTATGCTCCCTGCAGTTCCCAACTCCACCAGCAGGCCATCCACTATTTTCCAGCTCACCTGAGCTCTTGCCAGCCTTTATAAGAACTAAGTGCTCTTCTAGCTAGCTCCTGACCCCTAGCCGCAGCTGTAACATAGCTGATTAGTCACAGTTGGGGCTGGGT